CCGACCCTGCAGCGGGGTGCGGGGCCCTGTCCCGTCCCGCAGCCCAGCCCCGCGTGGGGGACGGTGAGGGAGGTTGAGAGGAGAGAGGGGAGCTGTGTGCGCTGAGGGCACAGCAAGTGCAGGGCAGAGTGGACGGGGGGTTGTGCCTGAAGTGCCCACGCGCGTCTGGGTGCGGAGGATTGAAGCGAAGCTCAGGCGGGCGGGAGGACGCCAGCTGCTGTGCTGAGGGCGGTAACAGTGCCTAATGGGACTGTGGCGAGAGAGCAGCCTGCACTGGCCTTAGGGCCTGGTGTCCACTCTGAACGGGGGAGCCCTGGAGGAGGCTGAGCGTGGGGAAGGTGGGGAAGGAGTAGAATTTCGGGTTCTCAGAATGACTGCTCTGGTTTCAGTTGTCTCAATTCTGACAGGTTGGGGTGGCCCTTGAGGACATTGCCCTGTACTTCTCCAGGAAGGAATGGAGGCTCCTTGATGAGGGTCAGAGAGGCCTGTACCTGAATGTGATGCAGGAGAACTTTGAACTTGTATCCTCGCTGGGTAAGACCCTGGCTCTCGCCAGTGACCGGGACTTGGCTTTGCATTTCCCATGCCCCTCTCCCCAGGGTGTGCTCTGTCGTCACTCGTGGACTGTGGGCACTGCTTGATTTCCCAGTTTTCTGGGTGGTTGCTGTCCTTGGTAGGGTTGGTTTGTTTGCAGTGCCGTTTTCCCTCCTTGCAGTCACAACACCTGCTGTACTGAACTCATAGGGAAGGGTGTGTGGTTGGTACTCTTGCAGGCAGTCCAATGGATTCCACCTTGACTAGCGAGGAAAAGAAGATTTTATATTTCTGTTATTTGTACATATTTTTTGGAAAATTATCTGTACATCCTTAGCACTTTTTTTTTTAATCCTCACCTGAGGATATTTTTTTCATTGCTTTTCAGAGAGAGTGAAAAGGAGAGAGAGAGAGAGAGACATTGATGTGAGAGAGACACTTAGAATTGGCTGCCTCCTGCATCCCTACCAGGCCTGGAATCTAACCTGCAACCTGAGTAGGTGTTCTTGGTCTGAATCTAACCCAGGACCCCTCAGTCCACAGGCACAAGCCCTAACCACTGACCCAAACCAGCCAGGGCCCTTAGCACTTTTATTAACCGTAGTTTTAACTAATGAGTCGTTTGAATACCTTGTATATTTTATATATTATTTCCTTTTCACACACAGGTACACATCTTTTTGCATTAGCTTACTTGTGCTTCACAGATATTTCGTGTTTTTCTTTCTTTCTTTTTTAATCAATTCAATGTTTTTGTCAACCCAGCAAGTGTAGTGCTGCCATTTTTCCAGCAGGCTTACCAGTGTTTAGCAATGAAGTATTTTTTTTTAAATATATTTTTATTGATTTCAGAGAGAGGAAGGGAGACGGAAAGAGAGATAAAAACATCAATGATGAGAGAGAGTCATTGATCAGCTGCCTCCTGCTTGCCCCCTACTGGGGATGGAACCCATAACCTGATCATGTGCCCTGACGGGTAATCTAGCATCGATCTCCTGGATCATAGGTAGATGCTCAACTGCTAAGGTATGCCGGCAGGGCTAAAATATTTTTAATTAAGTTATGTAGAGTTTTTTAGATAGAGGTATTGTGTTGTTATTAGCCTGTAGTATAGTATTATATCTTTATTATTCATTGGACACTGCAAATATTTGTGTGACTTTCTTTCTGTGTTGTAATATTTGCTTTATTGTGGGGGTCTGAACCGAACTCGCACTGTCTCAAAATATATTTCTGTGATTTGCAAGTATTTTTTCCTATCTGGTAGATTGTCTTTTCATTTCATTTTCTAATTTCTGTTGTGATGTGAAGAAGCTGTTTCATTTGTTGTAGTTCAGACTGTTTTTTTTGCTTTTTTGCCTGGTGATTGGTGTCACATCCAGAAAATCATTTCCAAAACAAATCTCCAAAGCTTTTTCTCTAGGTTTTCTTGAAGATTTTTAAATTGTAGGACTGACATTTGATTCTTTTATACAGTTTGAGCTTATTTTTATCAGTGGTGCCCAGTTTTTTTTTACATGTGAATATCTATTTTCCCCAGCACCGTTCATTGAAGAAATTCTCCCTTTTTTCTTAAAGGTCTTGTGTTTTTTGTCAAAGATTAGTTGGATATCTAGGCCTGGGTTCATTTCTGTGTTCTCTGTTCCGTTCTATTGGTCTATGTTTCTGTTTTTATTTCAGTAACACGCTGTTTGGTTGCTTTGGCTTTGTAATAGATTGAAGTCAGGAAATGTGATGCCACCAGGTTTGTTCTTGCTCAAGATTGCTTTTGCTATTCAAGATCTCTTGAGGTTTTATACATTTCTGGGTTCTTTGTTTAGTTCTGTGGAAAATGCCATTGGAATTATCATTGGGATTGCATTTAATCTGTAGGTACTTTGTGTACTATAGACATCTTAACAATATTACATTTTCAAATCCATGAACACAGGATGTCTTTCCATTTATTTGTGTTTTCTTCAATTTCTTTCACCACTGTCTTACAGTATTCAATGTACACATTTCACCTTTTTGGTTGAATTTATTCCAGAGTTTTTGATGCTATTGTAAATTGACTTCTTTCGTCATTGCTCTATCATAGAATTTATTGTTAGTGTCCAGAAATGGTACTGATGTTTGTATGTATGTTGTTTTGTATCCTGTAACTTTTCTGAATTTATTTATTCTTTAAAATTTTTCTTTTAATATTTTTATTGATTTTTAGAGAGAGGAGGGAGAGAGAGAAACACCATTGTGAGAGAGAATCATCAATCTGGCTGCCTCCCATATGCACCCCAATGGGGAATGGAACCTGCAACCTGGGCATGTGCCCTAACTCGGAATCAAACCAGCAAACTTTTGTTGCTCTGAAGGACGCCAAACCAGCTGAGCCACACCAGTCAGGGCGTATTCTTTAAAATGTTTTGTTTTTGGTTTCCAAGAGACTTACATAAAACCAGTCTTACTCTTTACAATCTATTCTTTCCAATAACACCTTCAATTGTATACAAAAATCCTACCCCTTTACTCTCCACCACACAGCCCTTTATTGGTTTTTGATGTCACTATTCACATCTTTGCATATTGTGTATCTGTTAAGGTACAGGTTAGCTTTTGTATTTTCACTAGTTTTAATTTTTATCCTTTATAATAGAACTACATAATGTACATTCCATCAATCAGTGGTACAGTATTGTGCATTTGATTCTGTTCTCACCGTTACCAGTGTGATTTACACTCTGCTATGTATTCGTGTTTCTTTTTTTTTCTCAACTTGAAGAACTTTTCTTGGCACTTCTAATAAGTCAAATTGAGTGGCAATGAACTTCCTTGTCTGTTGTTTGTCTGGGAAAGTATTTCTTCTTTGTGAAGAACAGGTTTTCTGGATAAAGTATTGCCTTTCATCTACTGTTTTTGAATATATTATTTTATCTTTTCCTAGCCTGCAAGGTTTCCTCAAAGAAACCTAGTACTACCCTTATTCTAGTGTTTCCCTGTGTGCAAGTAGTTTCTATTTTCTTTATGCTTTCACAATTCTCTTTGACTTTGATTTTTCACACTTTCATTATAATGTGTCATGGTAAATGCCTCTTTGCGTTTAATCTGTACAGGGGCCTATGACAATCATGAAGTTGGATAATCACATCTCTAATTAGATTTCAGAAGTCAGTCTTCAGTTTATTTCTTTAAATAAATTTTTTATCCTTTTACCTCCCTTGCTGTTTTCTTCCCTGCTTCCCTTCTCTCTTGCCCTCTCTCTCGCTCTCTCCCCTCCCTCTGGGACTCCCATGTTTAATAATTCAACTAGGCTGTCTTCACTCTTTTTTTTTCTTCTTTTTTCTTTCCTACATACATGATTTCAAATGACCTGTCTTAGAGATCACCTTTCTACTACTTGATCATGTGTGATTTTGAAACTTTTCATTGCATTTTTTCACTTTATTCATTATATTCTTCAACTCATGAATTTGTTTGATTCCTTTTTACAATTCCTGCTTCTCTGAACTTCTCCTTTTGTTCCTGTATTGGTTTTTTATTTTGTTGAGTTACATTCGGGTTCTCTTATAGCTCACTGAGGTTATTAAAATTAAGTATTTTGAATGTTTTGTCTTGTTCTTAGTAGATTTCCATTTTGTTTGGTACTCATTATTGAAAAGTTATGATTTTGTTTTGGTGGTATCCTTGTTTGGCATATTTCTTTTAGTCTAATTTATATTTATTTTATTACTATTTTTTGTTAATCCTCACCTGAATATATTTTTTCCATTGATTTTTCTCTTAGAGAGAGTGTGGCAGCAAGGCGGGGAGAGAGTGAAAGAGAGGAACATTGATGTGAGAGAGACTAATCGATCGGTTGCCTCCTGCATGTACCCCAAACAGGGTCGGGGATCAGACCTGCGACCCAGTTACAAGCCCTTTACTGGGAATCAAACTGATGATCCTTTGGTGAGTGGGCTGATGTTCTAACCACTGACCAACACTAGCTAGGGCCTCTTTTAGTCTAATTTTGATGTCTACACATTTGATGAACCAATTACTCCTTTCAACTGTAGGAACTAACTCTGGTTTGGTTAGAGAAAAAGCTCCACATGCACGTAGATACAAGGGTTCTGACTCGGTGGGATTTTGTGTTTTGGGCTTGAGATCAGTCTCAGCAGGTTATTCATTTTGCTACTCCGTGAACTGAGATCAGAGTCACAAAGAATGTAGGGGTTCTCAGTGGCTTTAGCAGCATTTTTCCTCAATGGCAGCATTGGCTTCTGGAGTTTTAGGTGCAAACACTTTGGGGAAAATACTGATTGGTACTCATTATTTTCTACTGCTGGGAAGGTTGTGGCCAAGGAGTTATTTCTTGGAATACATGCCTATGAACTTTACAGTGTCTTCTGATGTGCAAACTGGAGAGTTTTTAGATGTTGCAAGGCCTCCTGAAAATTCTAGCAACAGAGTTTTCCAGGGTTTTCCACAGAACAGGTCATTAGTGTCCACTCTAGTGCAAGCAAACTGGCTGAAAGAGCTAGTCTCTACCATTGTCTTTTTTTAAAAAAATATTGTATTAATTTCAGAGAGAAGAAGGGAAAGGAAGAGAGAGATAGAAATACAATGATGAGAGTCATTGATCAGCTTGCCTCCTGCCTACCCCCTACTGGGGATGGAGCCCGAAACCCGGGCATGTGCCCTGACTGGGAATTGAACCACCATCTCCTTGATCATAGGTTGATGCTCAACCACTGAACCATCCTGGCCTACCCTTGTCTTTTGATCCTAGACATCTCTACACATTTTTGCTCACCTAGTCGCCACAGTCATCCTTTCTGTGTAGTTCTCCCTTTTTTGCTCCCCTGCATTGCTGTTTGTCGTAATTGGACTCCTTTCCCTACTTCATGGCTGTATATGTTGGTGGATAGCTGTCTGCTTTCTCTTGGAAAGGGTATGAATTTTGGTATCTCCTATTCTGCCATTTTTCTGACATCATATAGCTCTTTTTCCTGTAGTCTGTTTTGTGCTGCTTTGTTCTACCATAGTACTGGCCATCCATCTATTCTGCTTCTCCCTTAGAAAGTGTATTATTTGTATCTGATGTAATGACTCAATTGGGAGTGAAGGGGAAAAGACCTTTGAGCATCACAGGAGGGACATGACTCCATCCATGGTAGAGTGGGCTCAGAGGGAGTCTTGCCTTGGTCAGTGAGAGTTGGTAAAGGTATGATGCTAGCACTTTGTTAAGGTCATAACTGGGTACCCAGGCTGTAACAACAGCGTCTTGTTACCGTTGCCAGTGCCCACACCTCAACCTACTTGTTTTTCCTCATTGTTGAAACTTTGCCAACTACTCAGTTCTAGGAATTATCATTTCTGCTTAGCTTTTGAGCTCATGGATAATCTTTACCTCTAAACTCTGCACCTCAGCCATTTCTCTCACAGGTTTTTCTGTACTGCTCTCCAACCATGATCCATGCCAACTGCTCATTAGAGTGTGCCCATATCCTTATATTGACCTTGAACAGCATCTGATCTGCTGCAATTGACTTTCATGGTTTCAAGCACATTCACACTCTTCTACACAGCCTCATGTCATCAGCAAGAACAGTCGAGCAGGAAGCCATTATCAGAGGAGTCACTTGTAAACTCTGCCTCTCTTTCTTGTGCCCCATCCTATGCTTATGTCCTACCATTGGTGAGTTCTCCACCACTTACTGACATTAAGGGTTGAGTACAACAGCTATTGCCTCAGAGCCTAACTCACTTGTCTGGAAATCATTCTGTATTATCTGCCTATATGTGACAGGTGGACATTTATGATGCGATTAACCTTTATCGGACGAAAGGGAACTTTAGTTCCCGGCAAGGAGTGGGTCCCGCTGGCCGAATGGGAACTTTCGTTCCCATTTATTTGAGTTATTTCTCGCTCCTTCTGTGATGATGGTTGGAGTGCATAATGATGTCAGGACTATTTATCTCTATTTATTTATTTATCTCTATTTATTTATTTATCTCTATTTATCTGCCATCTTTTAAAGGTTAACCCTTCCCTATAAGATCAAAATGTACTTCATTAACATTTCTTTGTATTTAGGCTGCTGCTGTGGAGCAGAGGATGTGGAGGCACCCATTGAACAGAACATTTCTTTAAGATTGTCACAGGCAAAGAATCCCAAGGTAGCTTTGTCTTCCCAGAAATGCCACCCCTGTGAGAGTTGTGGACCAGTTTTGAGAGACATTTTTCACTTGATTGAGCAGCAGGGAACACACCACAGCCAGAAACTGTTGAGGTGTGGAGCATGTGCAAAACAGTTTTGTTTCAGTGCAAATTATCACCAGCACCAGGAGCAGCACATGAGAGAGAAACCTCTTATATGCAGATTGTACAGGGTCTCTCTTGCGAAGAACAGAAATTTCCATGAATCAAGGAAAACTTTTATTGCCAGGGACTTTAGGAAGAACTTCCTGAACATCTCAGAAAATCTTCAGCAAAAGGCAGCTCAAATCAGGGAGAGGTCAAATGAAATTTCTGTGTCTGGAGTGACTTGTCAAAGAAGAAGAAATCATCACACCTGGAGAGAGTGCAAGAAAACCACTATCCGCAAGCACACCCCCATACAGGACCAGGGTGTCCGTAATGAAAGACAGTGTTTTGTGTGTGGGGAATGTGGAAAATATTTTACCAGAATTGATGGCCTCCGTTGTCATGAGAGAATACACACAGGTGAAAGGCCTTATGAGTGCAGTGAATGTGGAAAGTCTTTTATTACAAGCAGTAACCTTGGAAGACATAGGAGAGTTCATCCTGGAGAAAGGCCTTATAAATGCAGTGACTGTGGGAAATGTTTTACAAGTAACCCTGGCCTCCATTATCATCAGAGAGTTCACACAAGAGAAAGGCTTTATGAGTGTAATAAATGTGGGAAATCTTTTACCAGTAGTGGTAAGCTCTGTTATCATGAGAGTGTTCACACCGCAGAAAGGCCTTATGTGTGCCGTGAATGTGGGAAATCATTTTCCTTTAGATGTCGCCTCCGTTATCATGAGAGATTCCACACAGGAGAAAGGCCTTATAAGTGCCATGAATGTGGGAAATCTTTTGCCAGTAGTAGTGGCCTCTTTTGTCATCGGAAAGTTCACACAGGAAAAAGTCCCCATGTGTGCAGTGAGTGTGGGAAATCTTTTCAAAGGAACTCTGACCTTCGTGTTCATCACAGAGTTCACACTGGAGAAAGGCCCTATGAGTGCAGTGAGTGTGGAAGGTCTTTTCAAAGGAACGCTGACCTTCATGTTCATCAGAGAGTACACACTGGAGAAAGGCCTTATGAGTGCAGTGAGTGTGAGAAATCTTTTACCACTAGCACTGGCCTCCGATATCATGAGAGAGTTCATAAGGGAGAAAGGCCTTATGACTGCAATGAATGTGGGAAGTCTTTTACCAGTAGTGCTGGTCTTCTTTATCATGAGAGAGCTCATAAGGGAGAAAGGCCTTATGCCTGTAGTGATTGTGGAAAATCTTTTGTCCATATGGGCAACCTTCATTATCATGAGAGATATCACACTGTAGAAATGCCTCATGATTGCCGTGAATAGAAAAATCTTCTACCAATAGCCGTGGCCTTTGTTGTCATCAGAAAGTTCATACAGTAGTAAGGCCTTTTGAGGGCAAAAATGTGGGAAATCTTTTACCTCGTAGCCATATTGTTTTATATTAGTGAGGTCACACAAGAGAAAGGCCTGTGAGTACAATGAATGTGGGAAACTTTTACCAGTATCTATGGCTTCTGTTATCAGTTCATGCTGGTTAAAGGCTTCAAGTGTGCAGTGAATGTGGGAAATTATTTAGCCATAAAATTATGCCTCTTCACATTGGATAGTTCACACTCTGGAAGTCCTTAGATTTTAGGGAATGTGTTATTGTCTTGTTCAGTGTAATGACACAAGAAAACTGAGTTGCCATCCGAATTGAACTTCATACAAATGTTCACAGGCAGACATTTTTCAGAAATTTAATGTTTAATTTTTAAAGAATCTAACAAATTATAAAGTGATTGTAACATTTTGCTTTCTTACCAGTGGTATATGAAGGTTCTATTTATGCCAGACTAGCAAACAAATAAAATTTGTTTAAGTTTTATTAACTTTAGCTTTTTAAATAAGTTTGTTGTGCTCTCTCTTTGCTGTTTTAGTAGCATTTTTGTAAGGATTCATGACAAGCATTTTTGCAGATGTGTATTTAGTACTGATAAGTTTTTAGTAAAATGTGTGCTCACATGATTTACCTATTCTTTTATGAATTTGGGCTATTCTCCTTTAACAAATAGGGCAGTGAAACAACAGAGATACGTTGCAATGTCACTCATTTTTATTCCTTGTGTAACAGATGTAACTTTTACTTTCTAGAATAATTGTTTTCAATACTTCAAAAATCTTTAAAAATTTTTTTGGTATACACAGTGTTACAGGCACATATCATACACTTGAAAGAGCCGCTTCTCCCTGCCCGTGTGGCTTTGTTGGGTGAGCATCGTCCAGTGCACTGACATTGGTTCGATGCCCAGTCGGGGTACATGCCCAGGTTGCAGGTTCAGTCCCCCAGTTGGGGTGCAAGGGGAGGGTACCAATCCATATCCCTCTCTCTCCCTCCCCCTTCTCTCTCAAATCAATAAAAACGTTTTTAAAAGAGAGAATCAGCATCATTAATACACTTCATCACTTTCGTAAGTTCAAACATTTAATATAATAATGCCTTGCCTTTTAGTGTTCACCCATTTTTGTGGTCTATCATCTGGGGTTGGTTGTTTGGAGCAGGATAATATGAGGATGAATAGGTATTTGTTGAACCCTAAAGTCCTCCTGAAAGCCAAAGAGAAAAGATCAGTGATCAGACTATACCTTATGCCACACAAGCTGGGTTTAAATCCCAGATCTCCAACAATTGCCATGACAACAGGCAAAGGATCCACCCTCTGGGACTCACATATTTCCTGTGGAAAACGTGGTAAAGATCAGCCTTGCTCCAATCCTTAGTGTCCATTCTATCTGCATTGGGTACACCACTTGCCATCACCTGTGGGTGCTGTCCACAAGCCATACACTTCTGGGACCTTCTGCCCGGGCTGCTTGTGAAAAATAAATGGGGTCTTTCAGAGCACCCTGATGATCTGCAGTCCAAACAGACCCCACCACATGGAGGCGGTATATTCAGGGCACTGAGGTCTCAATGTGGACTCGCCAGCAATGAATCTCTAGAGCTTTTTGAAACTCACTGCGCTTATGATATACCAGTAATGAGGATGCTACATGGCTACTGTGAGAACCCACAGAGGTAATAAAACATACTGAACATTTACAGTATGCTAGGGTTTGCTTTTTGAGTATCTTTTCTTTAATTCTTACAGCACCTTGGGAATTTGGGGGGAAATTAAGGATCAGAAAGATGAAGTGGGTCTTTCAAGGTCACACAACAGGAAAGTTAGATATAAGAGGCTGAGTTTAAACTGGGGAGTGTGGCCTAAGAGCTGGGGACAATCTCTCTATATGTGAAGCCCTCAGCCCTGGGCAGATAGCTGGGGAGGACCAGTGTCGCTCAGCTGCTGCCGTTGCTTACATTGTTGGAATTATAATAATGATTTTCCACTAATTCCTGTGATGTCCCATAGCACTCCTAGTCTGCCCCACAGTCTTCGTGGGAACACCATCTGCATCATCTCCAGTGGTTTCTACAGAGAAAACTTCTTTGAGTCTTAGCAGCACTTAGTCTCAACTTTGGGCTTAGCACAGAGCTCAGCGCTAAGAAGACCCTGTGGTCTAGGCCTGGTTTTTACCTCCACCCACCTCGTGTGTGACAGGCTCAGATACCATCCACTGTGTTGAATGGGATGCCTCAGTTTGACTCTTTAAGTGTTGTTGGTACATGGTTCTAACCATTCTGCAGGAATGGGACAACGGGGCATCTACACTGAGACATTCAGAAGTGACGCTGGAGACCTGCAGGATCCTCATCTTCTTGGTTGAGTCCTCACTGCTATGTCACAGGGGACACGCTGCTCGTGTGGTTTCAGTTCTGTCTCTGCCTGTACTGGCGGGATGCGACCAGGCCTTCCCTGCAGCCCTGACTGTGTTCTGGACCCACATCCTCCTTTCTAGGCTCCTGGTCTCTGGCCAGGGATCTTCAGGTAAGAACATAGTACTTAGGGACACAAAACCTGGCTCTAGTGCTCAGCACACTTTGGTCACAACTGAGATCTTTACTCCAGTATCTCCAAGATAGGAGCAGATTGAGCAAGTCAATATTTCTCAGCCCAGTTGCCAGGGTTGTAGGTGCTGGCCTTTTCTCAGAGTAAAGGGTGAGTCCAGAACATCCCCGATGAGACATTTGCCATCAGTGGGCTCCAACACGATCCATTTAAAAGGCACCAGGTGGCTCTGCCTGGGTGGCTCGGTTGGAATGTCATCCTGTACACCGAAGGTTGCGGGGTTTGATTCCCAGGCAGCGCACATAGCTAGGTTGTGGGTTCGATCCCCGCTAGGGGACCGTACGGGAGGCAGCTGATCAATGTTTCTCTGTCACATTGATGTTTCTCTCTCCCTTCTCTAAGAAATGAATAAAAACATCTTCAGGAGAGGATTAAAAAAATATTTTCTTTTTTGCCCAGGTGGTGTGTGGCTCAGTGGTTGAGTGTCGATCCATGCACCAGGAGATCACCAGTTTGATTCCCAGTCCAGGGCACATGCCCGGATTGCAGGCTCGATCCCCAGTGGCGGGCGCTCAAGAGGCAGCCGGTCAGTAACTCACCATTGATGTTTCTATCTCCCTCTCCCTTTATCTCTCCGAAATCAATAAAAATATATTTTAAATAAATAAATAATTTTTAAAGGCACCATATGCATGCATGGACACCCTCTGAAAACCAACTCCCTTTTCTTTGTCATTCCACCTCACTGCTGTCAGAATGTCTTGGATTAGTACTGAATCTCTTAAAGCCCTTCTAAGTGTTAGTGATTTTCCATTTTGACAGAGGGAGCAGCCCCTGAGGGACTTGAAAACATTATTTTGATGTCATTGTATTTCCAAAGTAACCTATCACTTGTCGCAAGTCAAACTGGTTTTCCTAGTTAAAGAACAGATAGAAATATATTTATAGGACATGCCATATAACAAATATTAAATGTAGGTCATTTTATTTTTTTAATACTCACCGAGGATATTTTGGAATTCATGCTAACAAACTCTATAGGGTTCTCTGAGGTATGAACTCGAAAGTTCACAGATGTTGCAGGGGTTCTATGGTCCGTAACAGCAAATTTCCTAGGGTTTTTCACAGAACAGGCCACTAGGGTCAATGCTAGCATAAGCTCTGTGGTAGAAAGGGGTGCCTCCAACCCTTATTTTTTTACTCTAGCCATCTTTAAATATGCCCCACCACAGGCTTCCCAGTCATCCTTCTGTGATGTTCTCTTCTTCTCCCCTTTGTTGGTGCATGTTTTAATTGGACTAGTATTCCCCTCCCTGGGGCCTGATTTAGTTCCTGGATAGCTGTCTAAAAATTGTTCTGGAAAGGGGAATGAGTTCTTGTATCTCCTATTCTGCCCTCTTGCTGATTTGTTTCTTTCCTGTGTTCTGTTTTGTGCTCTGCTGTGCTATTATACTGCTCGCCGTCCATCTCTTCAGTTGCTCTCCTAGGACGTGTCTAATCTGTATCCCATGTGATGGCTCAACTGGGAGTTAAGGGGAAGAGGCATTTTGTGCATCACAGAGGTGACATGATTCCGTCCATGGAAGTATGGGACCAGAGGTGTCTTATATTGGTGAATGGTACTTGGTGAGTGTTTGATGCCAAAGCTTTAAGGTCATAACTGGGAGCCCATTTTGTTTAACAGTGTTTTGTTACTGTTGCCATTCCCACACCTTAATTTACTTGCCATGCTTATTGTTGACCATTTGCCAGCTACTCAGTTCTAATAGCATTTGCACGGAGACTTTCAGCCCAGGGATAATCTTCACCTCTATAAATTTTGAACCTCAACCGTATCTTTCACAGGTTTCTTTACTGCTCTCCAACCTTGGTCCCTGCCTGCAGAGCCTTGGCGTGTGCACATATTCTTATATGAACCTGGAACGTTTTGTAATCCGTTGCAGTACATTTTTATGGGTGTGAGAACTGTCAAATTTTTCTGCACAGATTCACGTCACCAGCAGGAAATGTCCTATAGGAAGCCATTTGCAGAGGCACAACTAGTAGACCCTGCCTCTCTTCTTTGTATCCCATTCTGTGGTCCTGTCATTTTCCTTGGTGAGGTCTCCACTATTGACTGACTTTTGGGGTCAAGTAACATATAACAGCTATTTTCTCAGAGCCTAACTCACTTGTCTTGAAAATCATTCTATAGAATCATGCCTAGCTATGACAGATAAACATTTGTGATGAAGAATTTTTTTTTTTTTTTAATAAGGTCAACATGTACTTTATCACCGTTTCCTTTTGTTCAGGTTGCTGCTGTGGAGCAGAGAATGTGGAGGCATCAATTAAACAGAACAATAAAAATCAAAAGCATATTTAAAAAGAAAAATGGAATTTATTTAAGGAAAGGGGATGAGGGATATCCAAAGGGAAGGGCTACACAGCACTGAGTCAGTGGGTATTGGGTCCATGATGGCAGCAAAAGTATACTTGGGACAGTGAAACAAGGAAAAGCATGAAAGAGGCAACAGGAGAGCCCAGGCTGGGCTGGGTTGGCTCACTGAGAAGTCAGAGAGAGAGAGAGAAGGGGGCCCTAGAGACAGGTTCAGGGGTAAGCCTGGGAGGAGCTGCCACTGCCCATTGCTCCCCTAGTTGCAAGTCTCCTGGGGTCCCTTCAGAGGGGAAGAAGGGGGATGGAGATGGCACGGACTAGTGGGGAACACCCACTGGGTCCTCTGTCTTTAGCCCTGTATTTATCTCTTTCTTGCTGGTGGAAATCTTAGGGGAGGTCTCGGGAGTGTCTCCACAGAATATTCATCAACTTTCCAGGTGTGCTCTTTCAGAGTTCTGGCCTCCACTGATTGGTCTGTGCCAGGGCAGGGGGTCATTAGTCAGTGTAGCTGCTCTTGAGGCAGCCAAGAAGCCACTGGTCTGGTTTTGCTGCTTTTCTAGGCCTGCAGCTGAAATACAGTTGAGGCCTAGATGTTATCTTTAGGGAGGATCAGCTATATGCTGGGGGAGGATAGGTTACCCTGGGGACAACATTCTCGTTTTCCCAGTTTTGCCACTTGCTAGGCATCTGGGGTTTCCTGCTCTGGTAAGTTTCTGCACCTGGGTTTCTGCACCATCTAACACATAGGTCAGCTTTCATTATGAATATGTACTTCATTTACTCTAAATATAAATGTGTTTATAATCTTATATTGAGAATGTCTAAAACATCATCTCACCTTACATCTTAAATATGTCTGTAAAGGACAAATTCTCTTTCACTACGATGATTACAATAGCACTTTCACATGAGCAAAAACATCAATAATTTTGGAAGAATTCAATTTATCAAAGCATCCAAACCTGTAAGAATTTTTTATTAGTGTACGTTAACACTAACATTCAAACCTGTGAAGAATTTGTGTGAGTTTATTTGAGCCAAACTGTGGACAATTGCCAGGAAGCAAAAGCTCAAGGGGTTGAGATAATGCTCCTGAGAATGCAAGTTTTGCAACTTATTTCATACATTACAATCAAAAGAGGAGACATAAGTGGGTTACATGAAATCTGTTGGTGATAGACTAAGAAGGTGGGAGAAAGCAAAGCAGAGAAAACTCTGGAATTGGATAAAAAGTAAAATGATAGACATACTTCTTTCACTTAGGTGGGTGTAGGATAGTTAACAGTCAACAATTAACATGATAACGAGAGGGCACTGGTGTGCTGGTTTTGCTTTAACGCATCTGGGAGGAAAAAAGAAATTACTTTGTTATTCCAAAGGCCTGTTATCCAAGATGCAAAAAGGCTGGAGACAGGCTTAGTTAAGGGTAAGATTGACCTTTGTTATGGAAAAATACTGCCCAAGGACATGACTACTTGCTACTAATTGCTTTTAGATTGAAAGCTTTAATTTTAAACCGTCCTATATGGTTACTTACTTTCAGTTTCTGAATTTGCAAGGCCACCGGCTCAGGCCTCCACAGAGCTTGTCGAGTTTAAGATGTGGCTCTTTTTTGTCCACAAATTCTCCCACTTTTTCCAAAATTTATCCTAATTGAAGTTCAAATTGTAAAGAGTTTCATTTAAACTTTCTATTATGCAGCTTAGTTTCGTTTGTTTTCATTTCAAAGGCTTGTCCTACATTTTTGTGTTTTATTTGTCACATACATAAATGATGGTGTAAGCAGGTCATTTATGTGCTAAAACGTTCCAGGCTCTTTAATGCAGGCAATACCTCTTTAATTATGACTGCTATATTTGGGTCACAGGGAATGTGTTTTAGTCAACACTGGACTCAAGTCCCTTCACCAGGAAAAGATGACAACTTTCCTTGGCAACTTTTGTTGTCGTATGTTAAATCTCACCCCAGGATATTGGGGTTTGGTGTTGTTAATGCTTACCCCAGGATTTTCCCCAGCACTGATTTTAGAGAGCTTGGAAGACTGGAAGGGGGGGGGGAGTGAAAACATCTGATGTGAAATAACCTCCCACACGCCCCTGGGGCAGGAACTTGCAACCCAAGTACATCCTCTTGAATCGTACCCACGACTCTTGGGGTGCGAGGGCAAACGCTGGACCCACTGAGGCACAACGGCCAGGGCTGTCCTTATGCATTTTTAAGATGCCGCTCTCATAAGAACTGTCAATTTCCCCCCCCTCCAGTGGCGAACCTTGGTCTTTTCTCCCAGGAGCGACGTGGCAAAACCCTTCATCAGAGCCTTGGACTCTCGGAACTACATTACCCAGAAGGGCGCGTGTGGAACGCCGCCATCTTAGCCAATGAAGAGTCAGAAAAGGCGGTTCCTTTGGGGCACGACTCGGAGGGGCGGGACTTCCGGCCTCTTCCTTGAGGGCGGCATTTCATCTTCACCTAGGAGCCGCTCGCCTGCTTGGTTCGAAGGTCCAGAGCCCTGGGTCCTGGTGAAGATGCCGGGGACGAGAAGGCGCGGGAGTCGGGGTGCACACAGCACGAAGGCGGGCGTGAAGCTCGGCGACGCCGCCCGGGTGACCCGCGCCAGGGCCAAGACGGGCCTGGCCATGCCCGGGGCGGCCTCTCCTCCCGCCCGGCTCGGCCCTCAGGGTCCCGCGGGGGCGGCT